TGCGATTCTAGTACGAATTTTCAAAAACCCAGCCTCTGTATCTGTATCCTTTTGACCAAGAGTGACACTCACCCAAAATTTCAAGATTCTAGCTTCAGCCGTTCTAGTACGAAATTCCAAAAACCCAGCCTTATCTGTCACCTTTGGACCAAGGGTGACCCTCACCCAAAATTTCAAGATTCTAGCTTCAGCCGTTTCGTCTGGGCGTTGATAAATTGTTAAATCAGTCAGTCAATCACTTTACTCTTTTATTAGTATAGATTAGTACCTTTTAGTACTTTTCGTACAGTTATAGTACGAATTTCCAAAACCCAGCCTTATCTGTCACATTTGGACCAATGTGACCCAAAATTTCAATTCTCTAGCTTCAGCCGTTTCGTCTGGGCGTTGATGAATCGTTAAATCAGTCTGTCAATCAGTCAGTCAGTCAATCACTTTACTCTTTTATTAGTATAGATTTTTTATTACAATCCGACCTTGTAATATTCTTAACAGCCATTCACAAAAGCATGAAGAGGAAGCTTCCACATTCCATTATATAATATCCCATTGTATGAATTTGTATGTACCACCTCAAACAAATCAAACAAGTGTATTCACTGTCTCTGCCATAATTTAACAGTTAAGTGTCCTAAGTGCCCAGTTAAGTTATTGGCAAACATTATTGCGTTAAGAATGGTAAATATTTACAACGTTTGTGGTCGTTAACCACAAAAATTGAAAGTGTACTACAAGAGAAATATATGCGAACAAATAAAGGTAAGTATAAACGAATTATATTTACACTTGACCTTAAGTAATAATTTCAAATAATTTTTAATGTATAGAAAATGAGTTTAGAATTCTCATTATCAAGGCCTATATAAGGTCGGCCAGTAAGCGAATTCATAGAGAAAACTTAAGTTTAACGTCAATTATTTTATTAAGATAATTCACTTGAAAATTTTCTTTAAAATATTGAAATAGTCCAAATGTGCTTCACAAAGACGATATAAATTATAATTGAATTTTGGCAACATATTAATATTTTCGTTTTGACGTCTAACATAATTTTGTATAGGTTTCAAAATATGATTTGACAGCAAACGTTATACTCACCTGTGCTTACTAGCCGACCTTATAAAGGCCTTGCTCATTATATTACAAGCTGAACGACACGTTACATTACAATAACCAGGGATCGGAGCAGTATAATCGGACCATATTATATCCTACACAATAAGCACTGATATCTATGTTTCTGTGGAGCCTGTATAATATTTCGCGATATTGGCACTCTCTTGACCAATTACATGTCAACAGCTCCTCTGAGGAGTATTTTCCTACCCACCACTCAAATTTGTTGTGATGTTCGGCTTATAATTGTGGCGTCTAGAGCGGCCAGAAAAATTAAGTTTTCGGTCTATTTCATCCTCGTAATATCATCTGACCATAATTGAAATTTTTAGTCGTCGTCCTTAACTATAGCCGGAACCTCATGCAAAAGTTTCAGTCATCAGTAGAGATGGTATTTACCGGGTATTTACCGGGTAAATACCCAAGGGGTGGGTAAATACCGGGTAAATACCCATTTGCGGGTATTTATTTGGGTATTTACTATATTGACTCGGTAATACAACATCTTACACCCTATTTCCGGATTTCTGTTATCAAATCGATTTAGAATGGATAGTTTTACGATACTTTAAAGACGTGGGTAAATACCCGAGTTTTTACCCAAAAATTGGGTATAAACTCATTAACTGCCGAACCACTTGACATAGGCGGCCACAATTTTGCACACATGTTTCTAATGACAAAGCAAATATAGAAATCCAACATGGGGTCCCTGGGTCCAAGTTTTGATATAGCCCCCATATAACCATATCTCCCGATTTAAGGTATTTTTTTGTTTATTAGACACATTTTACAACCAAATTGGCTGTAATTTGGCACAGAGTGCTCTTTTTGGGTACAAAATGTCCATGCAAAATTTTATGTATGTAGGTCCACGTTTACTGGTAGCCCCCATACAAAGGTACCCCTATTTTGAGTATTTACCCAAAAATTGGGTATAAACTCATTAACTGCCGAACCACTTGACATAGGCGGCCAAAACTTTGCACACATGTTTCTAATGTCAAAGCAAATATAGAAATCCAACATGGGGACCCTGGGTCCAAGTTTTGATATAGCCCCCATATAACCGTATCTCCCGATTTAAGGTATTTTTTGCCTATTAGACACATTTTAAAGCCAAATTGGCTGTAATTTGGCACAGAGTGTTCTTTTTGGGTACCAAATATCCATGCAAAATTTTCTGTATGTAGGTCCACGTTTACTGGTAGCCCCCATACAAAGGTACCCCTATTTTGAGTATTTACCCAAAAATTGGGTATAAACTCATTAACTGCCGAACCACTTGACATAGGCGGCCAAAATTTGGCTCAGATGGTTTTTATATCAATACAAATATTGAAATCCAAAATGGGGCCCCTGGGTCCAAGTTTTGATATAGCCCCCATATAACCGTACCTACCGATTTAATGTACTTTTACGATCAAATTGGTTGTAATTTGGCATAGTGAGATTTTTTTTGCACAAAATATTCATGCAAAATGTGGTTTTTGACACACATGGTTTAAAATCAATATTATTTCCTGTATGGGAAAAGGGGTCTTCAAAACACACGTCAAATAGTTCGGCTGTAAAAGAGTTTATAAATATATATAAATACCCAAAATCAGGACTGCTATATAGGACAGAAAAAGTTGACCAGAGCAAACAATTGGTACTCATAGAGAACTCTCTAAGCCAAATTCCAGCCAATCAAATTGGCTAATAGATAAAAATGTCCTAAAATCGGGAGATACGGTTATATGGGGGCTATATCAAAACTTGGACCCAGGGTCCCCATGTTGGATTTCTATATTTGCTTTGACATTAGAAACATGTGTGCAAAGTTTTGGCCGCCTATGTCAAGTGGTTCGGCAGTTAATGAGTTTATACCCAATTTTTGGGTAAATACTCAAAATAGGGGTGCCTTTGTATGGGGGCTACCAGTAAACGTGGACCTACATACATAAAATTTTGCATGGACATTTGGTACCCAAAAAGAACACTCTGTGCCAAATTACAGCCAATTTGGCCTTAAAATGTGTCTAATAGGCAAAAAATACCTTAAATCGGGAGATACGGTTATATGGGGGCTATATCAAAACTTGGACCCAGGGTCCCCATGTTGGATTTCTATATTTGCTTTGACATTAGAAACATGTGTGCAAAGTTTTGGCCGCCTATGTCAAGTGGTTCGGCAGTTAATGAGTTTATACACAATTTTTGGGTAAAAACTCGGGTATTTACCCAAGTATTTACCCACGTCTTTAAAGTATCGTAAAACTATCCATTCTAAATCGATTTGATAACAGAAACCCGGAAATAGGGTGCAAGATGTTGTATTACCGATTCAATATAGTAAATACCCAAATAAATACCCACAAATGGGTATTTACCCAATTTACCGGGTATTTACCCAATTTACCGGGTATTTACCCTTTGGGTATTTACCCACTGCCCATCTCTAGTCATCAGCGCTACATTTCCGCCCTCTAGTGATAATACTGAATAAAATGAGAACGCATAGATCCCTGTAAGGTAAGTAAAACTCTCACATCCGTGGCTATTCATCAATATAATGGGTACCAATTTAAAAGTCAACCAACTCCTCTTGAATACACTTTCATCTTTTCGGGGCCAGGTCCTTCAAGAGTAAATATATTCGCCATAGGATGTAAATTTTGACATTTTTCACACAAAAGTCTGAGTCTATTTGAAACGCGCAATATTGACCGATCTTCATCAAAACAGTCATGCTTATTCTATGGCCAGAGCCCTATGGCCTGTGTCGTGTTTACAAATTATAATAGAAGGGAGATGGTCGGACACACAAGTCTAGATCAACTCAGCTAGTCGATATATGACGATCGGTCAATATTTCGCGGCGTTACAAACTCTTGGGGCTGCACAAAGTAAAATATGAGTCGTTTATTTTGAAAGTGGACTAAGTACATTTTAGGTTCTGAAACAAATCTAAGATTTCTAGAAAAGGTTACAAAACATACTAGATTATATATTCTATCATTTTTAAGGGCACAAAGTCACAAGCAAAATTAAAATAACTTAACAATATTTTTGTTTTTGTTATTTTTCATGATTAGTAATGTCTTTCTATATATTAAAATAAAACATTGTTTTTTTTACTTTATAATCTCCTCATATTATATAAGGAAGGAAAAAAAATATTTTTTTCATTTCGCACCATTGGGACTTGACTTATATTCGTGTAGAACAGGTTTTTTGGGGTTTCTCTTAATTTATTATCTGGTCTAGATTCCTCTCTATTAGTAGGTTGTAAGTGTTCTTGAGGTCACACTTTCATGCTTTTTGTTTGAAGATGGCATAGTTTATAATCTGAGCTAAAAGCGAATCACAATGGGTTAAATACACATAGAGCTCCACGTGTTGAATGTTCCATAATGAAGTAGCGCTCCACGTGCCATATGGGTGTTTCATACTTTAGCACCAAATCATCATTTTTAAAACCGCATTAAATTCTCACTCTGTCCACTGCTCGGTAGTTTTCCATTGCAACGATGATGATAAACAATGCATGAGAATGCATTGTTTATCATCATCGTTGCAATGGAAAATAAAGAAAAGCATTCGAATCATTTGCACAAACCATAATCAACATGGCCCAAGTTAACGTCTCAAAGGATTCAAAAAAAATTGAAAAATACATTCAAGTATCGCGTTTCATTTTGAAATTTCTTGGTATCGATATGACAATTGTACCACGACAATATTCAAAATATCTTCAAATTGCAATTACCTTAAATCAAATTTTAAGCATCGTTCTACAAATCGTTTATAATCTCACCACCCAAGCGGAAGATGAAGATTTTTTGACCAACATCATTTATATCAATTATAATTTTGTGGCATTGGGCAAGCTACTCTCGATGTATTATCGACGTCAAGCTTTGCCCAGGGTTTTGAAAACTCTCGATGAAATATATCCCGAAAATCGCGAGGAAGAAAAATATAATTTAAAGAAATATTTTCGTTATTATTCGCGAATTGAAAAGTTCATTTGGTCGTTTTATCGTGTGGTGGGACCGGTCTATGTCACCCTACCATTGGTGCAGTCTTTGCGTTGCATATGGACAATGGGACAGTTTACATTATTTCTACCATTATCGCTGTGGAAGATGGGCGATCCCATGGATAATCAATGGTGGCTGCTATATATCGTCTATTATATGATTGGAGCATTTTCAGCGATATCTTCGGGAATGACAATAACCGGATGTGACCTCTGTCTGTATAGTTTAATAACACAATTGTGCATGCACTATGATTTATTGTCACGCCGGATTTTGGAACTGCAACCGGCTGAGGGAGAAGATTTGGTCACCAAAAAGTTGCATATTTTAATACGACAACATCGGCAGATAACGGAGTGAGTATGAGTAAAAAAATGTATATCTACCCTCAAGGCCTATCCACAAGCGTGGATTAATAACAAATCATGTTCAAGGACTGTCTCTCAAAGCGTGAATTTGTGATTTTTTTAATATTTTTTCAACGACTATTCTCAGGCGTGGATTTATTAAAAATATTTTTTCAAGGACTGCTCTCAGGCGTAGATTTATTAAAAATATTTTTCAAGGACTGCTCTCAGGCGTAGATTTATTAAAAATATTTTTTCAAGGACTGCTCTCAGGCGTAGATTTATTAAAAATATTTTTTCAAAGACTGCTCTCAGGCGTAGATTTATTAAAAATATTTTTCAAGGACTGCTCTCAGGCGTAGATTTATTAAAAATATTTTTTCAAGGACTGCTCTCAGGCGTAGATTTATTAAAAATATTTTTTCAAAGACTGCTCTCAGGCGTAGATTTATTAAAAATATTTTTTCAAGGACTGCTCTCAGGCGTAGATTTATTAAAAATATTTTTTCAAGGACTGCTCTCAGGCGTAGATTTATTAAAAATATTCTGATTTGAAGGAATATTTTTAGGCTTGATTTTTTTAAGAACTATTTTAAGGTTTGAATTTTGTTAAGAACTATTTTAAGATTTGGTTTAATGAAAAATAATTTTCCACATCTGCCTTAAGGCACTGATTTAAAAAAAAACAACACAAATAATCTCAGGCTTAAATTTTTAAAGTTATTTTTTCAAGAACTATTTATAGGCGTGGATTTGTTAAGGACTATTTGTAGGCGTGCATTTTTAAGGACTCTTTTTAGGTATTTTATTTCTAATGACTAATTTTAGGCATTGCTTTTTTGAGGGATTGTTTCAAGGATTTTTTCAAATTATTTCAAGGACTATTTTCAGACTTAGATTTTGAGTTGAGTTAAAAAAATACACTTCACCACACTGCGGTACAGGGTATTATGTCTTTGTGCATATGTTTGTAACAAGCAAAAATAATCGAGATAGACCCATGGTTTCTTTTGAGAATATTTCAATTGGATTTAGATCCAGTGAATGCACAGGTCCTTCATAGTATTAATATTGTAGTCCTGGACAAATGTTTTGCTAATCGACTGGTTTGTTTTGGATCATAGTCCTGTTGAAATTTCCATTTTATATGTATTTCATATTCTGCATATAGAACTATAATATGGTTCAGCATTGAGCGGCATAAATTGCATTTTGAATTCAATATCTTGGTCCAAATCCTCAGTACAAGAAAAACGCTCAAAGCTTTAAAAGTGCTCCACCTTCTTTGATCGTAAATTTTGTTCTGTGGGTATCTTACATATTGTCAGGATCCAGTATCACCATATATCACAATATAAAACGAATTTCGTTAACTCGATGGGTTTCAAATGTCAATTCCATTGTATACATGTCAAATAAATCCTCATAGAGTAGGTTAACCCGGTAGGTAGTCGTATATGGAATATAGCCAAAGTGGTTACATAAATCAGTTTGTAGAAATGTCGGTATAGGTCCACTTTTTGGTATGTTCCCTATATGTTCATTTCAAGCACCTGTCAGTATAACTATGGTGGGGGTATCCAATGTTCGACCCGGCCGATCTTAACTCTTTTTCACTTGTATTTTGTTTTTCCTTCCAGCTTAGCCAATGAAATCAATCGGATTTTTGCTCTCTCCATAATATTCTCGGTGATGTCGTCATCGTTTACCTTATGTTTGGTGGCCTATCAAATGTTGGACGATGTTTCAATGTTTACCATAGTTAAAGCTTTTATACTGCTGCTATACGAAAGTAAACAGGTGATTATTACATGTTATGTGGGACAAAAACTCAAGGAGTGTGTAAGTACAAAATTCGTAAACAATTAAATAGTTAATAATAATAATAAGAAATGTTTATAGAGCTCCCTTGTAAATGCATCCCTGTATGCCCATAGTTGGTATGATGGTTCCCCAAAATATAGACGTTGTGTGCTCTTTATGCTTTTGTGTACCATGGAACCATTTGTTTTGAATTTTATGGGAATTGCTGATATAACCGTTATAACTCTTAAGGAGGTAGGCAAATTTGGAGTCAATTGAATTTGGATAAAATATTTTATTTTTTTTAACAAAATCCCAAATGATCCGCAACACTACTGTATTATAATTTTCTTTTTTCCATTTCCAGGTTTATGGAAATGCTTACAGGCTATTTACTGTTTTCAAAAGTGCCTAATTATGGGAGGATCATTTATCTAAATTAAACTGCTATATCTCATTTAACACAAGAGTTGGTTTAACAGGACAATTAAGGGCAGATAAGCCAAAGATAACATTTTGAATGAATGCGAAGTCATAGCTTATGAAGTTATATTAAAAAAAAAACGCGAAGACACAAATTATTAATATTTCACACATTTTTCGTCACATAATGCGAAATTCAAAACCATAGCATTCCCATAAATTTTGCAAATCAATTCAATCCCATTCCAAAAAAATCAAAAAACTTTTTTCAATTTTCTTTTTTAAATTACATATTTATATTATTATCATCATCAGCATCATAATTAATAATATATAATAATGTACATCATATTATTATTAGAGTTTGTAAAATTCTAAAAAAAATAAAGCTGTTCCTTTTATTCGCAAGGAAACAAACCTATTTGTGTAGCCCAAGTTGTAAAGATGTTGTATCGCATTTTGCCCCCCAATTTTAAGATCGTAAAAATAAGTTTAACTACAATTGAAATAGAATGAAAAAACTTAACGTCTATCCGCTGTACCACTACCCCGTTTGCCGGCATATAAATGTTTGGGCATTTTGGTACCAATAAAACGATCAGCTTCACCCTTAAGACCCAATCGTGTAACCTTCTTGGCAATATCTTTCTTGGCCATAATTTGTGCCTTCTTCTTCATGGCCACATTCTTAATGCCCATGGTATCGCGTGCTGGCTTACGTTTCAATGGCTGGCCAGTCTTCTTGACAATGGCTGATGATTCCTTATCCAGCAGAGGCTTTTTCAATTCCTTCTTGGTGCCAACGGCAACTTGGCCACGTCTTAAATCCACCACCGATTTGGTGAAGTTGGCATTCTCCGAACCAGACATATCGACACCCAAATTTTCCATTGTCTCCACCAATTTGCCAACCGAACGATCGCGCACCTTGGGCTGTTTGTGACGTGGAATAATGGGTTTGTTTTTGCGTGGTTGCAGACGTTTTTCGTCGCGCAACATGAAACGCTTGAGACGAATCTTCTTGGCCATTTCTCGAATTTCTTTCAGTGTTTCGTCCATTGTCATATCTGGAATATCGTAAACACCACCCTCTTCGCGTATACCCTCGGCACGTTCCAATTCTTCCAATTTCTCGAAAATATCCGGATCGATATAGTCGGCAATGTTGTGTCCTTCCCAGAATTCGGGAATAACATCGTAACGTTCCTCTTCGGCAATTTCGGTGTAATTCTTTTGCAAATCCAATGTATAATCATCACCCAACTCCTCTTCGATATCCTTCTCCAGTTTACGTTTACGCTCAGCCTTGGCGGCATTCTTTTCCAAACGGGCCAAAGCCTGTTCGGGTATGCATGGAGCACGTACCTTATCGTCACGTGGTGCAGGCATTGCAACATGTAAACGATTGAGAATGTTATCCACTTTCTTGGTACGCATTTTTTGATCGACACGATACGAGAGCAAACGTTCACAAGCTTCCATTTTTAATTCCATAACACCAGCTTCACTAACGGTCGAGAGGAAGAGTACAGGAACATTTTTATCTTCTTGTAATTTTTCAATAACTTGTCGCTTTTCTTCGGGTAAATCTTCAAGGCCAAGAATATCGATTTTGTTGATGGCCAAAATCAATGGCTTATTGGTGAACAAAGGTTTAATACTTTCGAACAGTTTAATTTGTTCTTCCAGCGAATGGCCACATTGTTCGGAAATATCCATAAAGTAGAGAACACATGAACGTAAATGAGCCAAGGCAGTAATGGCCTGCATTTCAATGACGTTACGTTCTTCCAAGGGATGATCCAAAATACCGGGGGTATCAATTACCTGTAAGAAAGAAAAAAATGTGAATATGAAAATAGGTTTGTTTTGAAATCAAATAGGGGTTGTAATTGTATTACGAATAACTAGTTTATATAAAAACTTGATATAAACTAGTTATTCGTTTGGAAAATGCGGAACTATCATAAAAAATAGAGTGCATTTATACAAGTATATTTTTCAAAGACTATCCTAAGCTGTGTATTTTTATAAACATTTCTTGAAAATGTTATTCCACGTCCATCTTCACGGATAGATTATTAAAAAATTCTTTTTTTCAAGGACTATCTTTAAGCATGGTTAACTTTTACGTATGTTTTTAAAGGTCTGCCCTCAACCAATGTAGATATTTTTTCAAAAATATTGTTTAAAATTAAAAAATATTTTGTTGCAAGGACTATATCCACAACAAGCGTGGATTTTAAAGGAGTGATTTCTCAAGGTCTGTCCCTACAACAATCGTGGATTTTCAAATCAATATTTTCTCAGCGTCTACCCAGCAAGAATAGTGGATTTTTGCATCAGTATTTTCCCAAGGTCTAGCCTACATAAATGGTGGATTTTTAAAATAAAAAAATTCTCAGATTCTACTCTGCAACAAAGTTGAATTTTAAAGGACTATTTGGTGCAAGTTTTGTTTAAGATCTCATCTCGAATTTTCCTTTTAATACCAATATTACCTTCATCGGTCCATAAATGACAAGGTTATGATCATATGAATTTCGGAACTTCAGAGGTCCATATCTCGGAAAGTGTGAACTTTCCCTTGAAAGTCGTGTTTTTCGTGATCGGGGAGTCGAGACCTACCTTTAGTAAAAATGTCGGAAATAATCAAGATGAGCCCCTAAACTAAATATTTTCCTGCAAGGGTTTCAATTCCTCCATTGATGTGAAATTACTTTCTATATAGGAAAATTATACATATTTATCCTCTAAGAAACCTCAATGCCAAACAGCTAGTTCGGAAATGCGGCTAGAACCTTAAAAACATAGACCTATATATTTTCTATATTTCTTTATATGACCTAAACATTTTCTCCAAGGGGTATTTTATCCTTTGAGAACCTGAAATATTAAATTTCGTCCCCTCCGAATGTGATATGCGATTAAGACCCTTGAAATGCCTAAATTCAGTTTTGAACCTTACATGGGATCTATATCAAAAAGTTGCAAATATTCTGCCAGGATGTAGTTTATCATCTGAGAAATATTAAAATCACTTCGATTCGAAAATGAAGCCAGAATCTTTATATTTCAAATTATCGGGATAGATGAGGGCTATATTAAATGATCATCCTAAATTGGAGATTTTAAGCAAGGAGATATTTTATTCTCTCAGATATGGAAATGTCAAATTAAAACTGCTTCGTTTGATAAATAAGGATACATAAAATCTGTCAGAACAAGTTATTATCGGCAATGCCAAAATATATATCTAGAAAGTATTTTATTATCTGAGAAAGAAAAAATACTAATTTAAATAACATTGGTTGGTTAGAAATAACGAAAATGTAGCTAATTTTTTTAGAGTTTCTGTTTCTACAGAAAAATTACTTCGCCCAAATTTTTTACCCAACAAAGGCGTTTTTTATCTTCTGAAAATGCGGAATGCAAAGTTGAAGCTACTTCTTTCAAAATATTTAAAATAGAACATGTCCGTTATGTAGGTGCTATGTTCAAAAATATACAACCCATACAGCACAATCTTAATTTCATCTGTCCATAAAACGATCCGCCATTTTAAAGCATTTTTTTTTTTAAGAAAATGAAAAGGTTACTTGCCGGTACTATTTTATTCTTCGCAACTGTATCTGTATTGACAATTCTTTGCAAGGGGGTTTTTATCTCCCGAAAATTCTGGCTTTTCGGACAAAAAATTCTGCCAGACAAAAAACTTATTTTAGAAAATGAAGCTGCGACCTTCATATTCCAAACATTGCCTGATATATATCGTTTTTAATATCAAGCATCCATACATGAAGACGCATAAAATTTGGGAACAAATTTCTTTTCTTTGGTTGTGTAAGATGTTGTCTTACAGAACATTTGTTCCAATATATATCTTGTTTATATTCAGGGCTACATCTTGATTTTTCAAGGTAATTTCATTCCTTTACAACCTGACTACTCTCCCTAAGTTGTATCCCTTACAAAAATACATATTTATCATTATGACAACTTACCTGCCATCTCAAATATTTGTAGTCGGTGTGACCAACATACAAGGATTTGGTGGTGAAAGCGTATGGCTGCACCTCAACATCGGCACGAGTGATCTTATTGATGAACGATGATTTACCTACATTGGGGAAACCACAAATGATGATGGTACGCGAATAGGGATCAATGGTTGGTAAACGGGATAAATGCTGGCGTACTTGTTCCAAATATGTCAAATTGGAAGCTTGACGTTTCATAATAGTGGCCATACGACCCAAAGCGGCCTTTTTCAATTGTTTACAGCGATACAAAGAGTCACCATATTTCAATAAGCGGACATAATCCTTGCCAACACTACAAAGCAGAAGAAAACAATTAGAACATGTCATTATCTTTACAATCAATGGCCATACTTACTTATCAATTAAATGGCGTGCTGTGTTCAATTGACCCAAAGCCAATTTGTAATGGTCCTTGTCGTACAGGACATTCATTAAATCCGCATAGAATGGATGAACATCATCCAACTTGGGGAAATCTTGGATAATCTGCGACAGACGATCGTGGAAATTCTGTTGGGTGAATTTCACTTTGCGTGTGTAGAAGGCACGAATACGGGATATCTTGTAGCCTTTGTGCACAACGGTGGGGGTTTTACGTTGTGTCTTCGACAACATAATGTCGATAAAGTCCTGGAAAGAAACAAACATAGAATTTCATCATTATTTGTAAACATTATTGGAGTCTCCCAAATAACAAATTGTTGCTATTTGTCACACAAATAGGTTATGATAATGGACCCCAAATGGGGTCCCAAACTAAAGTTAGATTTTTTGTTTATATATTTAACATACCTTTGCTGGCGGAACCACCATAATTTTCTTAAAATTATACAAACTCATTTTGCTGCAATTTTCCTCCGGTTACACGTGTAAATCAAAAAGGAAAATTAAAAATATTAGACGGGTATTTAATGCGCACAACAACCACCAGAATTTCATAAATTTATTA